GGAGAGAGGGAAGTCTGGGCATCTTTGCTTAGACTGCTGCCCCCGCGACCCAGTCCCGGATAAGCGGAGGAAAATGGATGGATGGATGGATGGTTTACAGATTAGTGAGCGTTAGAGCTGCTGGTAGGTGGATTATTTTGCCTTTGGTCAGTGCCAGGCTAGCTGTTTCCTTAACATCAAGCAACATAAGGTGGAGTCCCAGTGGCCAAGCACACTCCAAACATTGTGTCCAGGTTGCAAAGTCATGGATGCAGTGCAGCATCAGTGGTATATTATACCCCCCCGTCCCCGCCCCCAAACATCTCAGCCAGTCACCCAGAGTGGACTCTTCAGTCCCTCAGTCTGACATTATTCACAACTTTTCACACCAGTTGTGAATAACATCATTATGATGTGACGTCTCCAGATGGATTTTGATAAGTGGAGGCTCAAACACACAGGCCTGTATTGTCCACGTAGCATCTAATAAAATTAAGTAAAATGTGTTTTTTGGAAAGGAAATGGTGAAATCAGAATGATTCAAACCCCAACTTCCCCCTCACTAAACTAAGCCCCCGGCTCATGCTTATGATTTCTGCTGGTATGACTTGGTATTTCCTGTGGAGAAAAAGGAGAAAGAGTATTTGCATGTGTGGCAGTTGTGCAGGCAGAGAAGTGCGCACGTGAGCATCTGTTACATGGGCATGTTTCATTAATGCCGATAAATCATCAAGTCCTCCACTTGTGTGTGTGTGTGTGTGTGTTTGGCTATTGTGGTCTTGTTTTCATCGCCAGACCTCTCTCACCAGTCATAAGCTGGATGTACAGAAGTGATTTTATTTTTCTATAGGGTGGTAGGTATCCGTTCTTCTAGAAGACATTGAACCTGTAATATTTACAGTAGTACTCTTGTTAAAGAACACTGCTTGAAACCATGTTACATGAATTGCAATGGTCAAATAGTAAAGTTCATCTGTTTAATTTGTCGAGTGTGTCATAGGCATGTTCCATCATAAAGGTTTTTAGGTCTGTTATTAAGCTTTATCAAATCTGTTGGGTTACCTTTAAGTAACACAAAGACTTGTTGCTGCTTCCCATTAAACATAAAAATCACTCCTAAGACTGGTTGTTGTACCAGTGCAGAGCATTTAACATGACATGAAGTTGTTTAATTTATCATAAAGCACTTTTCTGTTTGATTCAGAATTCCATTTAATGAAGGAAGTTAAGGATTGCTTCACTCAGTTGACAGGACAGCAGGTGAAAACTGTGCTGGGCTGTTAGCACACAGATGTGTTCAACCCTGTTATTGTGTTTGGTCATCCAAAAATGTCTGGGAGAGTTCGACTGTACGTTTGACCGATGTGAAAGGCACGTTTTATCCTTTACTTCTGAACTAAGATTTTTTTATGTTACCGGATTTGAAGTCATATCTGAACCAGTATATAGTTAGTGTGCAGATGCATTCCATTTTTAAGTTTGAACTTTTAATCCAAACTTAACAGCTTGAATAACTCGTATTGCACTGTATGCAGAAGCCATTATCAGGTATTTTAACTTCTTCTTTGTGACCTCGTAAGTTTGGTATTGTATCACATGGGAGAATGTTTCTTAATACTGTCTTTTATTTAAATGTAACTTATTGGTGTTGGTGTACATTCATGGCCAAAAATATTGACACTCCTGTATTTCTGTCAGATAACACACACCACTTCTCTCAGAAAATTGTTGAAATCAAAGTCTTTGCTATTCTCATGTTTGTTTCGTTTGCATTGGAACAACACAAAAAAAGAAAGCCAAAAAAAAAAGGCAAAATCTGGTCTTTTCCACAAAGAACTCCAAAAATGGACTGGACAGAATTATTGACCCCTTTTCAAAATCATCAGAAATATTTCCAGCATGTGATCCTCCTTTTAGTTTGTAATGAAACTCACCTGTAGCAACCAACAGGTGCTGGCAACATAGAAATCACTGGTAACCAGGTAAAATGGAGAAAAGTTGACAAAGCTGACAAAAGTGGACCACACTGAGCACGGAGAAAAGAAAGAAGAGCAAAGAAATGTCTGAGGATTTGAGAAGCACAGTAGTGGAAAAGCCTGGACAGTCTCAGGGCTCCAAGTCCATCTCCAAGGTCCTGTGTCCATTGTGAACAACAGTGACAAGACATTTACAGCCCATGGTGCTGGAGCTAATCTCCCTGGACGTGGACGAAAGAGAAAAATAGACGACAGATTGCACCGAAGGATTGTTGGAATGGTGGATAAAGAACCTTGATCATCTTCCAAGCAAATTCAAGCTGACCTGCAGGCACAGGGTGCAACAGTGTCAGCTCACACTATCTGTCGCCATGTAAATGACAAGGGATGTTATGGTAGGAGACCCAGGGGTCCCACTGCTGACACAGAGCCATAAAGAAGCCAAAACTTACCTGAGGAAACCACAGTACTTCTGGGAGACTGTCCTGTGAACAGATGAGACTAAAATACAGCTTTTTGGTCGAGCACATCATTCTATTGTTTTCAGAAAATGAAATGAGGCCTTCAAAGAAAAGAACACGTCCCTACAGTCAAACACGGTGGAGGTTCACTGATGTTTTGGGGTTGCTCTGCTGCTTCAGGCACTGATGTCTTGACTGTGTGTGTGGCATTATGACATCTGAAGACTACCAATGAATTCTGGGACCCAGTGTCAGAACGTTGGGTCTCTGTCAGAGGTCATGGGTCTTACAGCAGGACAATGACCCAAAGCAGACTTCAGAAAGCACCAGAAATGGTTTCAGACAATGAGCTGGAGAGTTGTGAAGTGGCCAGCAGTGAGTCCAGATCTAAACCCCATAAAGCAGCTGTGGAGAGATGTCAGAACAGCAGCTGGGAGCAGGAAGCCTTCAAACCTGAGAGACCTGGAGCAGCTGGCAAAAGAAGACTGGTCCAAGATTCCAGTAAAGAGGTGGAAGAAACTCACTGATGGTTACAGGGAGTGACTGATTCTGTCCAGTCCATTTTTGGAGTTCTGTGTGGATCAGATTTGGCTTTTTTCTGCTTTTTGTGTTGTTCCAATACAAACAAAAGAAATAAACATGAGAATACCAAAGAAGTTGTGATTACAACAGTTTTCTGGGAGGAGAGGTGTGTTACCTAACAGAAATATAGGAGTCACAGTATTTCTGGCCATGACTGTATTTATATCTGTGGGTGTGTGTTGATAAAAAGTTGAAAATGCACATGCACTCATGTGTAGTTCCTGTTCGTGTTTCACATGACTGTCATGATTTTGCAACCTGGGATTAAATAAAGAGTTGACACAGAAGTTTATTTATACATTTCTGTATAATAGTGGAGAAATTAAAGTAATAGTAAAAAATGTTTATTTTTTTAGTAATTAATTACTAAATCAGACGTCTGATTTTGGGAACTTTTTGCCCCAGACCAGGCTCATATTTTTTCCATGGAAACAGCTGGCAATAAATTTAAGGATTTATTTTATAGTCATGAAAAAACACAATGAGACTTGTAATAATTACCAATTCAAATGTTTACAGCAGCACAGAACAGTAATTTAGTGAGGTAGTAAACAAAGAATTATTTAAAATTATTAAAACAAATGTAAAGATGTTCCAAGCTTTATATTTTATACTTTAGGCTATGTATAAGATTTGTGCCTGTTTAAATACACATGGGTAAAAAATAAGTAATGCATAGTAGTACAACTCCAAAAGCCTTATTGTGATAACATTGTGACTTTAGGTGTCACTATACTAGGTACAGTATCTAGTGTAGAATCAAATGCTGGACTCCTTGTTTTTTAAACTTATTTTAGCTGTACCTAAGTGCTACTGTTATAAATACAACAAAAATTAAACAATACCTTTCTCTCTTCGACCTCCATAGCCACCATTGTATTTGAACCTAGAGGGGTCAGCTTTAGGTGCCTCTCCAGACATTATAAAACAAAAAGTAAGAAGTTCAATGCAAATGACAGACCAACTGTAAGTCCTATGAAGACTGGCACTACTAATGAGCAAACAATCCCTTCTTGACACATGTCCCTGATTAATGATACGTCTAAATATCATAAATGTCAAAAACTCCATTAAGGTGACAAAAAGTAACATGCAACATATCACTCTGTCATATAAAGATGCCCAACTCATTAAAAGGTAATACATAAACACATTAACTTGTCACAAGGTGTCATCTTGAAAATATTAAACATTAGAATTAATGACTCAACCTGACATCCTTAAAAACATATTTACATCAAAGCCTTTTTTCTATCTCTTCCTCTCTGCGGTGTGACAGGTGCCCTCACGCCACCTTTTAGTCTGGGCTGAAAAACTGGGCAGCCTTCCAGGTAACAGGCTAGTAAACCCCCTCAGGTTACTCTAGGACACCAGGGTCGTCTCCCGGTTGTTCTTACACACAGAGTCACTCTCGGTCATCCATTAGTACACTACTACAATGCAAGTATAACAAGTACTGATGAATGAAGTGAAGTTAAAATAACACAAACATTACAATTAAATGAAATAAAATATTTTTTAAAAATGACAAGAAAAAATATAATAGGTGACGTATGTCAATTATAACAATATAATAACTGAAATGGACTTAAACACACACACAATCTAAAGACTACAAGCATGAGACTAAAACTTACCTTTAACCTTTAACCTCATTGGTCTCCCACTTACTAGTACTTCAAAATTTGTCATTGATTTTAAACCAATCATTTATATGGTCACTTTTCCACACTGTAAGTCATGATGTTTTTATTATTTTCTCTTTCAGTGGGTGGAGGTAGATTCCAAATGAAATTCAGAGAAAGGGTGTGCTACTTTTAGTTCCCGCTTGTTTTCCACTGGTTATTAAAAAATGTCCAGGGTTGAGATGCGCCTCAAACAGAAAATAGAGTTGAAATTACAAAACTTTCTAAACCTAAATATTGATGTTTGCCACTTCAGTAACATTGTACTATAATGTAAATGTTAAGAGTACCAGCATTAACTTGAACAAAGGATGATGCTCATTTGTGTGGCAATGCTGGGCACCCTTGTCTATTTTGTTGTTTTTGAAACAAGAAATCCCTGTCAGCATTCACAGAACTGCTTTCATAAAAAATAAACTCAGAAATGAAAGGATGGGATGCTCACAGTTTTCTTGAAAAAGGGGATATCCTGAGTGATGCAGTACAGCTCAGAAATATCACTTTCACTTCCCTCTTCACTAGTAATAAATGATCCACTCTCGGTCTGTTTCATACACATAGAGCAATCACGATGGACACGGTCATTTGCCTCCTTGGTGAGTTCTCTTCAGTTCAGTTGCAGCATCTCACAAGTTTAACATTTTATTTGATACAATCCACTAAAGTTTGTCAGGTAATCTCAATTATTTTCTGTTTCAGTTTTCTCAGTTCTGCCACAGCTCGCTGTGCCTGCAGGTATGTACCTACAGTAATTCATTACTAGATATGGAGCAACATATTACACATTTGTAAGCACATTACATATTGTATCAATAGAATTAAGGTTTAGCTTTGTATATCTGCTGAACAGAACACAGTAAGTACATGAACTGAACAATAGCAGTGAGAGTTTAAACAAATTATCTACATTCTATGTGACATTCCTGGACAGCAAACCCATATTGTCTGTATGTTTCTTCATAGCTCCCTCTGAGACCTCATTCAGAGCTGAAGTGGAGATCGTGTCAGGCCATTCAAGGATCTTCTCTGGGGAGGATGTCCGGCTGAGATGCAGCATTCCAGATGGCAACAGGTCTACCTGGGATTTCCTGTGGTTCAGGGGATCTGAGCAACTACCGTACTTTGGGCAGGACTTACTTCTATGGAACACCATGGTTAAAAAGAGTGGGAAGTTTATTTGCCAGGGTGTGAGGGACACAATAGTGGGAAACATACACACCCGCAGAAGTCTGCCTGTAGAGATCAACGTGGATGGTAAGCTCTTGTTTATCTGTAGCATTAGTAATGTCCTTCATTTTGTATATCAAGCCCCCTTTTTCTTTTCCCTCTTTGCTGTTCACTTCAGAAACAGAGAATCACTGAACTTTATCACTGAACTAAATCATTTTAGTGTCTCCTGTGGGTTTGTCTCTAGAAAATGATACAATTTAGCAAATTTTTGTCTTACAGCACATCCCAAACACACTTCCACTGGCTGATTTATTCTCTGTAATCTTTGTTCAGGAGGGTGGGCTATCCTGCAGGTCCCTCCTCATCCCAGCCTTGTTGGAGGCACCTTGAACGTCACGTGCCGTGTCCGAAGAAAATACCCGCTTCGGGAGGTGATTCTCTACAAAGATGGTGTTGAAGTTATGAGACGAAATGGTGTCAACCCACATTTCTACCTGACCAACTTGACCCTTGAGGATCAGGGACTGTATTCTTGCAGGGCTTCCTGGGACATACAGAGAAATACACACTCTGTAATTTCAGCTGCCTCTCCAGTGCAGGTCCTAGGTGAGTTGCATTGAGTTTGACTGCAGTTGCAGGACACATTAAAAGAATAGTTAACTGGCTCTGTCTGAAGGTGACACAATCCACTTACAAACAATGGTGGATTTTGTTCCTTTTGGTCAGAGTCAGAGTCAGTCTGTTTCCCACTGTTTCCACTCTTTAAAAAGATGACGTCCTGCTCACTTTATTTTGTTTATAGACAGACAGGATAGTGGTGTAGATCTTCTCATCTAAATAAAGCATATGAAAGTCTTTTGCAAAATGCTGAATTTTCTTACGAGTATAATTTAGTAGTTGTTTTCAGCCCAATTAAGAATTAGACTATTTTAAACTATGTCAGTGTTGGTAATGTTTCCTTTACTGTGGCTCTATTTCAGAGGTTCTGTCACAGCCACATTTGGAAATTGATGCCGCCAATGACCTGATCAAACTCGTGTGTCACGTCCAATACAACATTCCTGCCCCTGCCCCTCCAATACAATACTTTTTCTACAAGAATAACACCAGACTGGGACCAGCAGCCTCTGAGAACTATGCTCTGGTCTCGTGGAAACCAGGCCAGTACAGCTGCAAGGCCAAGGTGCCTCAGTTGGGCCTCTGGAGGTGGAGTGAGTCTTTAAGCTTTGAACAAGAGACAGGTAATTAGAAGTAAATGTAACCTGCTGTGTCGCATCACCCAAGACCCACCCTCCCACCTCCAAAGCTCTCCCTCCTCCCTGCAGCTGAGCCAACAGCAGCCTGGCACACCCCTCACACATCCACTGCAAAGCCTACTTTTACTCCGCCTACTGAAACGAGCATACAATTGTCAGATCCTTCACAGCCAAGTACTATTCTGTCTACAGTTCAACCTCTCAATCAAACTGCTACTCCAAAGCATTCTGCTTTGTCTCAGGAAACTGATGACATGTCTGGAGAGTCTGCTAATATGCCACATGAGTCTGGTGACATGTCCAGGAAATCTCCACACACTGTCCTGTACTGACCAGTTATGATGCATTACAGACCTTTGCAGAAATGAATGATCCTGTATTCCAGTAATAATATGTTAAATGGGACCACATATTTATCTATCTGTCATTAATCATCCTGGGCCACTGTACTGCTATTACACACTTTTTATATGATTCATTGTGCAATATGAATTTCACAGATTGCCAAATATCAACTTCATGATTGGATCTGTAGAAAACTAACTGGATCAGGAGTGTTGGGTTTAATAACTAATCCCATATTGGTTACAGGAAATAAAGCATTTCATAAATGATATGAACTACTGGATTTTATTTTCAGTGAACACATGGTCTTTACACAACCCTACAACAATACTGCTTGCACATTAGGAGTACTGGTAAAATAACAGGTATTATATTCCTCCACTGAAGAAGGGTAAGATCATTCTTGTCAAATTTACAGTAAATAATCATAATGCAGCAAATGTCACAGTGATAATATCTGTATATTTAACACATACGTCATATATTCATTTCTATGTTGCATTTTTCCAATTAGATGCAGGGAGGCTAGGTCAGCTAGGAGGCAAGTAGTGTTTGAAGTGAGAGAAGGACAGAGGATCAACATGGAAGGAAGGGTTGAAGGGGCTTGTTTGGGTCAAACAAGTGAGGTGAGTGGTGTTTAACTGAGGGCATAACTGTTGGTAGATGTTCAATAAATAGTTCAGAATGGGTTTGAAGGACTAAAGGCTAAGTACAATATACTGATAGGAACACTATGCGGGGTTTATTAACCAGTGTCTGTGTGCTGTTAAGCTTACTGCAAACATTTTTGTTAACATTTCAGTCTACAAGTGTCATATAAATGAGTGGTCCATAAATATGCACCGATGCTCCATAAATATCCAATTTTCATCATGACTTGAAAACTTGCAGTGTTATCATACACAGTGCAGTTGGGTTGTTTTATATGAGTTCCATTTGTGGTGAATATTAGCAGCTTTGCCCTCATTCACCTTCATCATTTTTCTAATATTTTCTTAATCTTTTCAGAGTGATTGTTTTCTGACCACACTTCACTCACCAAGTGACCAAATGTTTGTGAACTGGTTGATTCATCCTCCATCTATGTATATATAAAGAACTGTTGGGATGTGTGTTCATATACCTTATCAAGGTTATGTAGATCAAAACACTGTAAATAAATATACCAGCAGTAAATGAGAGTATGTCAGAGTTTTCACAACAAACAAAACAAGAAGATACTAATAAGGTTCTAATGTGATAAATATGATATTGCCAGTCCTCTAGTGTACAGAACAGCTTTCAAGCAGTCTCTGAGTTCTGTGGTGTGGCACCACCATCTGGCCTTTTCACAGATGTGGTCTGGTTAGAACAGTAGAAGAAGGTATTGTCAGTAGCACTACTGTGTATCAGACCTTGTCTGAGTAAAGCAGAAACCCAGAGAAGATACTGTCGTCCTCACTGCTGGCATACATCCCGTTCCAGTCTCTGAGTGTCTCCATCCACACCTGATCACCCTCTGCCAGCTGCAGCACCACAAGACTGGATGCCTGGTCGATGTCTTGACCATACAGAGAGTCGCGCATCCTTACCCGCCGTGACCCATTCACTACCAGTGTGGCGCGCAGCGGCTGATTGCGTACAGTGATGTGGAAGGAGAAGATATAAACCCCGGCGTGGACACAGGTAAAGCTGTTGGAAGTGAGGTTGAAGTGGTTCTCCTCGTTGTAGAAGATCTTGTCAAAGCGGATTGGGAAGCCAGATGGAGGGAAGGACTTTCTTGGAGAGATGCCGACACTGAAGGCTGAGCGTTTCTGGGGCACCCCTGATCCCTTCGCTCCTTTGACTCCACGAATGCCCCGATCACCTCTCATCCCCGGGTAACCTCTGTCCCCTTTTGGCCCAGGCATTCCTCTTATGCCTTGTGGTCCCTGAGGCCCTCCCACGCCTGGCTGTCCTGGTGGTCCAGGAAGTCCTGGATCTCCTTGGACACCTACAGGACCTGGGGAACCGTGCTTGCCATTTATTCCTGGAATACCCATCACTCCTGGCATGCCAGGTGGCCCAGGATCTCCTTGTTCACCCTTTTGCCCTTTCTCCCCAAAAAAGCCACACTCCCCCTTATCTCCCTTGTCTCCCTTAGGACCAGCCGCTCCTGGAGGTCCAGCTGGCCCTTCTGTTCCCGGTTCTCCTTTCTCACCAGCAGTTCCATTGAAGCCAGGTTCACCTTTCCCCCCACTATGACCTTTGACACCTTGCAACCCTATTTTACCTTCGTCACCTTTTGAGCCAACATCACCTGTAAAGTAAAAGAAACTGTGTCAGATCTACTGAAGTCTGGCAACAATGTAAAAGAATTCAGTGGTCATCTAACAAGTTTGCACCTTTTTGTCCTGGTTTCCCTGGTACTCCTTGTGGTCCAACTGTCCCGCTGTAACCTCTGTCACCTTTGTCCCATAAGAAATAGATACAGTAAAGCTAAGATTCAATGAACAATATGGAGCAAAATAATATTTTTTAAACTAGGTAAAGAGGAAACCAGGGAAGATGTTTCACCCATCTCTGTTTGGGTCACTGATCTAAAATGTATTTTTCATGCAGTATATTGTTATTCATATTACCTGACATAGCACTACTGCACAGTGCACACTTAGGCTACAGGAAACCTAAATTTAAATTAGTAAAACAATATATCAGAGCAGGGAAGCAGAATCTGCACCATAGCTTTCTCTTGATAGTTTCCTGTTTTATGGTATGTTGCAGTATCTTGTGTTGCCTGTGGAGAGGAGTAGACCTTCTGTGTCAGCAAGCTTTGAGAAAGGATTATTTATTCTGTCTTCACCTCTACCATAGACAAAAAACTGACAATCAGGGTCTGTTTTCATAAAACAGCAACAGTTTAAAGTTATGTTTAACCAGCACAATATCAGGGAACAGGAACATTTATCATGTCCTGGGCCTGTGGTTTCATAACATGTCCTTGTAATGCCCTGTACATCTCACTGGTCCAGAGGAGGGCAGAGAAGATTTCTGCAGCCCCCTCACATCCTGGACATAAACTGCTTGAACTTCTTCCATTTGTATGGCGCTACAGGTCACTGTACGCCAAAACCATCAGACACAGCTGTTTTAAACATGTTCTTGACCATATTATATTCACCTTTCTCTCCTTTTAACCCCATTGGACCACTCACACCTGGTGGTCCTGGTAACCCAGGTTCTCCTGCAAGACTCCTGTCGCCAGGTGGCCCTAGATGAGCACAGATAAGTGAAGTTCAAAATGCAGAAAGCACTAATAAAAAGACTAATAAATTAATTAGAGTAACAACACTTCCTATATTACACTCTGTTGGTGCTTCTTATACCTGCCAGGCCCCTGTCTCCCTTTGGCCCCCTGGGGCCTCTCTCAGGTGGACAGCACTCACAGAAGTTAAAGTAACACTCATTGTAATCTAGGGTGTAGTTCTCAGGTCCAACACCAGGAGGCTCAGTGTAGTACTGAGAGAAGACATGGCTTGGATAGGTGGTCCTCTCTGTGGCGGGCACTGGATGGGGCTCCACAGGATTTGTGCTTGCCACTGTCTTGAGAGTTTTGGGCGTGCTAGTGGTCACAGGGCTGTGCACGGTGATCTGAGGAAGAGGCTTCTTAGTGTACTGGTACTTTGGCTTCTGTGTAGTCTTAGCTTCAATGCAGGGCACCACAGTGAGTGTAACCACAACTGCTGCTACAAGAGTCTGCTGACAGAAGTTAATCCTCATGGTTGACTGGGATCTGAGAACACATGAGTGTATGCAACACGTTTTTCACTCATTTCATTTAAGACAAGAGGTTACAAAAATAGCATATGCTGATTTAATGTTGACTGTTGCAAATCACATCATACAGTATGATGCATCTATTTATTATCAGTTCTAATAATTATTTCCATGTTTATATTTGACTGGTTTCTTTGTTTCTTTATTTCCACCTCAGATTGGGGCAACTTTTTTTTTTCCTGTGACCCAGTAGGTCTGCAGTTTGCCCTTCAATCAAAGCTGATTTTATAAGTCAGTTTCTCCTCTCTGGTAGTTTATGAATTAACCCAAAAGTTCAAGTGTTCAACTAGAATGAAAACCTTCAGCTTCTTAGTCACAGTATCACATAAGTGAAGTCAATGATCTATGCACCAATACACAAGCTAGTGGTTTTACTAGGTTTCTTGTCATGCAGACAACTTTCTGAGAATATGTATTCAGTAAAATTGATAAGACTCACCTAGATATGCATAAGTGGTATGGTCATTTATCCTCTCTAGTGGCGCCTTGGAGGCAGCACCAGGAGCTCCAGGTCTGTCTGATATCTCTGCTAGGCTTGGGTGAAAGAACACCCCCGCCAATGAGGGTGTTTGTTGGAAGCGCAGGGGGAGGTCTGAAATCCAACTACAGTGGGCTGGAGTCAACCCAAGGAGAACCACTGTGCTGTGGCCCATTCTCTGTGCTCCTGTTGTGTAGAAAGGTGCTTTTGTGACATGAGATACAGCAGCCAACAGGAGCACTCCCTCCTCGCTGAGAGCGAGGTGAGGAGCAAAGGCCTTGGGGGCAATGGGTCACCCGATATGAGAGGCATTCCTCCAACTTCTAACCCTGCTACCCAGGCTCTTAAGGTGGGACAAAGCCAAGAAAAGAGGATTCTGTGACAGAGGCCAGGGCACTACAACAGCCTTTTTTTTTCCAAGTGCAGATTTGGACAGCACTCAGCTTGTAGCTGCAGCTCAGTTTTATTTTAGGTGCTTTATTGAATAGTACCACGCAGAATCTTTCAAACTGACCTACAGTATTATCAGACTTTTCAACTTACTGCTACATCTCCAAACTGGCCCATAGCACAGGGTGCTCAGTATTTACAATCTTCTAGTGCTTGGTGAGCATCCAAAAGAAAGCTTTGGCCTAAAAAGCACTGATAATCTCCTCACTCAGCATTTGCTAAACTTGAGCTGTTTGTGAAAGGAACCAGCTTATCTCCCTTAAATCAGCACAGTTGCAATGTTTTCCTGATCACCATGACAACTTTTTGCACAGGGGCCTCTGAGTTTGCTGGAAACTACATTTGCTAACTGTTATTCATACTATGTGGCTGTACAACAATTCATTCTTATGCTGTAACAAGATAGCATCGGGTGTTTGTGCAGAAAGTGACTTTCTGGTAGCTGTCTGGCTGAGACTCTTAACTTGCCAGTGACAATGAATGTTTGAGCAGTGGACATGCTTCAGTTATCAAAGACCTCTTGTCCTTAGAAGGATCTATGGCCAGCTATGAGTGAGCAAGAAGACGGGAAATGAAATGTAGGAAAAAAATGAGGGGTGATGGTTGGTTGGAGGGATAAAAGGAGAGATTCTACAAATGACTGTTTATGTAAACCATTTCCCTTTATCTCCTCTCTTACATTTACATGCTCTTCCTCTCCCTCCTTCCCAGCAGCTCAGGTGAAGTGCTCCCCCAAAGAGACAAATAAATGGAGTGTATGTAGCTATGCAGCTGAGCCCAGCGAGGGAAAGCAGTTCCTCTGGGGTTCTCCAAGCCCGACTTCAACCCCATCGTCTCTCAGCTCCATTCAGACCACACACAACAGCGGTGGTCAGCTTACAGCGCCTAGCTGGTCACAGAGGACCCAGGCGCTGCTCACTTGTCTGTTCATTTAACACTGGCACTGGCCTTGCCCCCAACCCCTATCTGCACACACTATAGAGCGAGGGGTAAGGAAGAGTTAACTTACTCAGCGGGTGTAGCCGAGCAGAAAGAGGACTTGGATGGATGGAAGTGTATTGCCTTACATTAACCCTATTCATGCAAAGGAGATCTTGGAGTTGCAGTGAATGTGTATAGAGTGAGGGTGAAAGTGAGACAAAAAGATAGCAGCTTGTTCAGTTACCAACATTCAGCAACCAGACATTTTCTGTATGAATATTCTGCCATTATGCTCACTGGCATAAATAAGACCATAGCCTCTTTGACTGTGGAGTCTTTTCAAAGAAAATCTGGAAACTGCCGAATTAGCTGCTCATGACTCTGGCAAGAGCTCTGCTGGCACTGAAGACTCCTCTCATGTAGTAAGAGCACAAAAACACTTTCTCCTGCCACACCTTGAAAAGCCACTCTGATGTTAGGGACTGGTGTCTGATATGTTTCAAGTTGGTTGCTCAAATATGGTAACATACAGTGCCTTGCGAAAGTATTCGGCCCCCTTGAACTTTGCGACCTTTTGCCACATTTCAGGCTTCAAACATAAAGATATAAAACTGTAATTTTTTGTGAAGAATCAACAACAAGTGGGACACAATCATGAAGTGGAACAAAATTTATTGGATATTTCAAACTTTTCTAACAAATAAAAAACTGAAAAATTGGCCGTGCAAAATTATTCAGCCCCCTTAAGTTAATACTTTGTAGCGCCACCTTTTGCTGCGATTACAGCTGTAAGTCACTTGGGGTATGTCTCTATCAGTTTTGCACATCAAGAGACTGAAATTTTTGCCCATTCCGCCTTGCAAAACAGCTCGAGCTCAGTGAGGTTGGATAGAGAGCGTTTGTGAACAGCAGTTTTCAGTTCTTCCCACAGATTCTCGATTGGATTCAGGTCTGGACTTTGACTTGGCCATTCTAACACCTGGATATGTTTATTTGTGAACCATTCCAATGTAGATTTTGCTTTATGTTTTGGATCATTGTCTTGTTGGAAGACAAATCTCCATCCCAGTCTCAGGTCTTTTGCAGACACCATCAGGTTTCCTTCCAGAATGGTCCTGTATTTGGCTCCATCCATCTTCCCATCAATTTTAACCATCTTCCCTGTCCCTGCTGAAGAAAAGCAGGCCCAAACCAGGATGCTGCCACCACCATGTTTGACAGTGGGGATGGTGTGTTCAGGGTGATGAGCTGTGTTGCTTTTACGCCAAACATAACGTTTTGCATTGTTGCCAAAAAGTTCGATTTTGGTTTCATCTGACCAGAGCACCTTCTTCCACATGTTTGGTGTGTCTCCCAGGTGGCTTGTGGCAAACTTTAAACGACACTTTTTATGGATATCTTTAAGAAATGGCTTTCTTCTTGCCACTCTTCCATAAAGGCCAGATTTGTGCAGTATACGACTGATTGTTGTCCTATGGACAGAGTCTCCCACCTCAGCTGTAGATCTCTGCAGTTCATCCAGAGTGATCATGGGCCTCTTGGCTGCATCTCTGATCAGTCTTCTCCTTGTATGAGCTGAAAGTTTAGAGGGACGGCCAGGTCTTGGTAGATTTGCAGTGGTCTGATACTCCTTCCATTTCAATATTATCACTTGCACAGTGCTCCTTGGGATGTTTAAAGCTTGGGAAATCTTTTTGTATCCAAATCCGGCTTTAAACTTCTCCACAACAGTATCTCGGACCTGCCTGGTGTGTTCCTTGTTCTTCATGATGCTCTCTGCGCTTTAAACAGACCTCTGAGACTATCACAGTGCAGGTGCATTTATACGGAGACTTGATTACACACAGGTGGATTCTATTTATCATCATTAGTCATTTAGGTCAACATTGGATCATTCAGAGATCCTCACTGAACTTCTGGAGAGAGTTTGCTGCACTGAAAGTAAAGGGGCTGAATAATTTTGCACGCCCAATTATTCAGTTTTTTATTTGTTAAAAAAGTTTGAAATATCCAATAAATTTCGTTCCACTTCATGATTGTGTCCCACTTGTTGTTGATTCTTCACAAAAAATTACAGTTTTATATCTTTATGTTTGAAGCCTGAAATGTGGCAAAAGGTCGCAAAGTTCAAGGGGGCCGAATACTTTCGCAAGGCACTGTAAAAATTACTGCAGGTAGTGCAATGTAGGCCTAACTTCACAAAGGTTTATTCAGCTACTGTACAATGCTGACAAAATACTAAAGTACAGCTAAAGCTTATATATGTAAGGCTCCTGACAAAGGATCTCCCAGTTCTCCCAGGTCATTTTTCACAGAAACACCTTTTTATATTACAGTCCACACCAACAACACAGTAGTTTTGGAAAATAACTAAGTACATTTACTCAAGGCACTGTATTTAGCTTTAGCCAAAAAGTATTTTATTTAAAGTGTTTTTTTAAAACTGTGCTACATAAGTGTCTTGTGTTTGTGTTATTGCTGATTAGGTTATTTTGGGGATTTCTTAGACATTTCCTGTTCCTCTCTAATGTTCCATCCTGCTGCCTAACTGTGTCTGTCCTGCACTGTACTTAAAGCTACAGTATATAACTCATGGTAGCACTAGCATGAAACAAAATCAATCCACTCCGCTCCACCCAGCACTCCCTCTGTCTGCTCCACTAGCTCTGCTGTGCTCTGCCCAGCTCTTTGTCATTATGAAATTGCAAGAAATGAGAATACAACAAAGCAAGAAGTAGCACAAAATGAAAATACTCAGGTACAAAACTGTTCTTAAATGCAGTACTAGGGTGAATATACTTAGTTACTTTCCAATACCGCCACTTACCCTCATATGCCCCAATGTCAACAAACAACACTAAAAATACCAAAGCAAGTGTAATATTGCCTTCACTTTTGCATGACTCAGCTGCAGTCTGAAGCTGACTACTTGCCCAATTCCCTCCACAGTGAACAGGTGCAGTTCACCATGA